GCCACCCTGCAGCCGGGGGAGACAGGCGACGTGCTGCGCCCCCGGGGGACCCTCCCCCCCTTCCCCGAGGGTGTGCGCAAGCCCCCCCCCCCCCCTTCGGGCGGCAGGTCCGCCCCTTTTGCGAGGGCGGCCGCTGCGAGAAGCTCTTCCTCGGTGCGCAGCACAACTACGAGAAGGGGCTGCTCAAGTGCGCGTGGTCGGCGCGCGGGCCGTAGATGCAGACGACTCGACGCCACTCCAGCAGCCATTCCAGCAGCCATTCCAGCAGCCCGGGGCTCCAGACGCAGGTCCTGGACGCGGAAGTGTAGACGCGGGGCGGAGCATACACTGCGAGGGAAGGCCGCCGGCGCGACGCGGACCGCACGCTGTAGGCGGACGGGGCGCGCGTGGCGTGTGGCTCGGCGGACCACTTCGTGTACGTGTGGGACGCGGCGACCAAGCGGATCAAGTACAAGCTTCCCGGCCACACCGGGTCCATCAACGAGGTACACACGCACACACACACACACACACGCACGCACGCACGCACGCACGCGCGCACACACACACATGCACACACACACACACACACACATGCACGCACACACACACACATCACACCGCTCATCCCCAGCCACCCGCCACAGGTCGCCTTCCACCCCACCCAGCCCATCCTCGCCTCGTGCGCAAACGACAAGCACGTCTACCTCGGCGAGATCCGCCCCTAGGGCGTAGTCGGCGAGGGAGAGCTCGCGCCGAGACTCCGGCTGCGGCCTGCACGTAGAGCCGTAGCGCATGCGGTTGGGCGGCTGGGTTAGAAAAATACCGAGTCGCGCCGGTTATTCTCGGCGGTACCGAAGCGCAGCCGTTCATATTTCTCTGTTTCAGCTTTTTTACTACACATTGTGTTGTACTGAAATATACGACTTGTAAGAAAGGCTTTTCGACAGAGAGCGGTCTGAGGTGCCCCGCGGACCCGCGCGCCGCCGCGCGGGGTCAGCGAGCTGCCTCTCGCGCGTCGCGGGGAAGGGATCCCCCGCGCGCCCCAAAATGGCAAAACCATGAGCTACTTTTGGCGAGCGCGTGCACCCGGGGGTACGTACGGAGCACGCTCCGAACGTGCCGTCCGCTTCTTCTTGGGTGGCTCGGCGGGAGCGGGCACAGCGGCGGCAAGAGCGGCGGCTGCTGAAGCGGTGGCGGCGGGGGCGGCGGCAGGAGCGGCGGCAGGAGCGGCGGTGGCTGGAGCGGCGGCGGCAGCGGCGGCGTTGGAAAGCGTGTCGGCGGCAGGAGCGGCGGTATCAACAGGTGCCGTGGCGGACGGCGCCGCGGCGGGGAGCTCCACGTCGGCAGCCGGTGCTGACGCCTGAGAGCTGGCAGCCTTGGCGGTGGCAGCCTTAGCGGTGCCGGCAGAGGGGCCCGCCACCTCGGCCTTGCCGCAGCCGCCGCCTCCGTCACCCCTGCCTTCGCCGCCGCCTCCGCTCTCGCCGCCTCCGCTCTCGCCGCCTCCGCTCTCGCCGCCACCGGTCAGCTTGAGACTCGTGGCCTGGCCCTTGAGCCACGCGTCGCACGCGGCGGTGTCGTCCCCGAAGCCGAGGGCGGCGGCGGCGAGCCGGAGCGGGAGGGTCGGGAGCGCGGAGGGCGCCGGCGACTTGAAGGCGGCGCAGAGGACGCGCAGCGAGCGCGCGCGCCTGGAGGTGAGCGGAGGTGGGCACACAGAGAGCTGAGGGCGGGAGTACGGTCCCGTGCAATACTCGGAGCACCGCGGGACTGCCAAAGCTCGGCGTGAGCACGTGTATGCTCGGGCGCCAGCTGGAGCGCGTGGATGTGAACTCGGCATCTAGGGCCGCGCGCTGCTGCTCCACCAGAGGCGCGACTAGCGCGTCGCCGCGGTTGTGCATGCGGCCAGCCTCGCGGAAAAACGCGGCCGCGTCGCCGCGCTGGAGGGCGGTGACCACTGCGATCGCCTGGGCGACGGGCGGCGCCGCCAGCTCCGGCGGCGCGAGGCCAAGGGCGACGGTGCGGAGCTCGTCGGGCAGCGAGGGGGCCTGTGTGAAGCAAGGTGCGAGAGGTAAGAGATGGGAGGTTGCGGCGGAGCTTGTGCGGGGCAGCGAGGCCGCCCGCGATGCGGCGCAATGGAGAATCCGGTACGCTGCGAACTCTGCGGCGTGCTCCGACAGCCCCGCCGCGTGCAGAGGGACCAGCTGCGCCTGCTCACGGAGGGGGGGCGTGAAGCGAGGCTGTTCACAGCCCCGCCGCGTGCAGAGGGACCAGCTGCGCCTGGCACTGCGCAAACTCGCCCTCGTCGCCTGAGGAGGACATGTCCACGGGACGCGTCACGGACGGGTCGTGGACAGCAGCCTGCAAGCGTCGCCCTCTCTCACCGGCGGCGAGCGCGAGGCGCGCGTGGTACCTGCAGCAGTAATTGGTTATTGAACCTGTTATGCAATATTATCCAGAGCGGTACTCGTACACGTTACTGACTATCATGGATTCTGTTATGCATCGTTCATCTAAGCGCGAGCGCTCGTACACGGCGAGGGCGAAGCGCGCGCGTGGCCCGTCCTCGGGCGAGACGCCGACGCCGCCCTCTGCGCGCTGCGCCGCGGGGAGCGACGAGAGGTGTTGCACCGTCAGGTCCTGCCGGATCGCCTATCAGAAAGAGAACAGATCGCGCACAAGAAGCAAGCAGCGTCGGTCCTGCGCGGGTCGCCTTGAGCTGCTCGCACGCGTACGCGTAGTCGCACGCCTCCGCCTCCCACCGCCGCCGCACGAGCTCGAAGGCGTCGTTGAGCACCGGCAGCGGCCGCACCTGCGGGAGAAGGTTGCGAGAAGGTTCCGAGAAGGTTCCGGCAAGGCTCCACCCCCTCCGTGAGGGCGAGCGCCGGAGGACATTGGGGGAGGTGCGGCAGGCTGCGTCTCTGCTCGAGGACGGGAGAGATGCTGGAGATACCGCGGAGACATGGTGTGTCGGCGGGCCGCGCGCCTCGTCCGCCCGCGGCAGCGCAGTGAGCCGCAGGTAGCTCTTCTCCAGCGCCGTCGACTGCCCCTCCACCGCGCCAGCCACCACCGCGCCAAGCTCGAGCGCCGACGCCCCCTGCCGCAGCTCGGCCTTTGCGCCCTTGCCCGCCTCGGACGCGAACCGCGCCGCGCGACCGCTCCTCGCCTTGAGCTCGGCGGCGTCCTACAGGAAGGGTCCGAGAAGGTTCGCAGAAGGTTCCGAGGAGGCCTCCCCGCCTTTGAGCGCGGCGGCGTCCTCGACGAAGCTGAAGCCGCCGGCGGGGGGGGCGGAGCGGGGAGACGCGCCGCCGCCGCCGCCCTTGCCGTCGCCGCCCTTGCCGTCGGCAAAGAAGTGCTTCCAGCCGTCCCCCAGGAGGACCTGCACCTCTGCGCGCGCGTGCCGCACCTGCGCCTCCGTCCCCATCAGCGAGACGAGCCTACTCGCGGGCGACCTCGGGGTGATCTCGGGCGTACCTCGCTCGCCTCTCGAGCCCCTCAGCGAGACGAGCCGCGAGTCGTCGGCCCAGCCGGGCGGCGCGCCCTCCTTGTCGAGCACGAAGATGTGCGCACTTGTGCGCGCGCACAGCTCGCGGTATGTGGCTCCAGCCGAGCCGATGAGCCGACCGAGCACCTGGCGCGAGATCAGCCGAGATGAGAAGAGATCAGCCTCCGCCGAGATGGAGCCGAGGTGGAGCCGAGATGGAGCCGAGCACCTTGCGC